TGGGCCAGGAGCGGCGGGCTCCTCAGTACTGGCGAGGGTTCATAATAGGGTTGGACAGGCGCTTGGCCGGATGGTTGAGTCAGGGGCGGCCCTGCCTTGAGCCAGGGCTGGACTATAGAGCAGGGTCGGGGACGGTGGGACTTCAGTGCCTAGATGATGAACAGAGTACCGAAACGCCTGTCAGCGTAAAAAATGCGCTTCTTGGGGAGCAAAAAAGTGGGGTTTTGTTTTGATCGTGATGGGACAAGACGGTTGGTGGGACGTAAGGTGCAAAAGGTTGAGAACCGTTGGGCAACAAGACCCTGCGAGGTCCCTCCCAGCCCGATCGTGCCACCGTCCTGCCAGAGGGACGCCCAGAAAGGTGAAGCAGCGGACCCGAGGTCACGCAGGAAGGCTGTGGTGAAGATGGGCGCAGGATCCTCGTCTTTTTCCCCGTGCCGAATCGTTGCAAAGCTACAAGCGTCACTACAGAGATGCGACCCGTTGCGGCACATAGGGGGTGTGCACACGGCTGCACATGAACCCTCTGAGATTGGTCGTGCACCCCCTGGAAGCACCTGCCGTGAAACTGGAAGTGCACTTCTGGTTTTGCCACTGACTGGGTGACCAGTCGCTGCCACCCGCCCCAGTTGGCGCTCAGTCACTGGCCCCCCGCCCCACTTGGCAATCAGTTGCTGCCCCCTTCCCAGTTGGCGATTGGCCACTAGGGGACCGCCCCCCCACATCAGCAATCTGGTGCCTCCCCAGACTCAGGAGACACCAGTCGCCCATGATGTGACCTAGACTACAACAGCTGGAGTGACAAGGTTACACAACCGTAGCTTTATCCACCTTGTACAAACATAAGACTGTCTGTGTAATGCCAAAGGCTTTTTGGTGGTAAGATGAAGGAAGCGTGCTTGGAATACATGTGGCACCAGAAGCATAGTTAAAAATCCACATTTAGGACATTAACAAATTAATGCTGTGACTTTACCATGTACATTCAAGTTTATTCACTTCTGGGGCATAATGTAGCAACTGGTTAATCTGTCGCAGTTTGGTTGAAGACAGGCTTTATAGAAGAACACTGTTTGGAATACTTCATGCTTTGTAAATGCTGCCTTAGAAGTCAGCTGTCTCCGGCTGTATCAGCCCACTGAGGGACAGTAATTCCAGAAGTCAGGTCCTTCACTCAGGACGTAGGCCCTGTTCTCCAGATCTACATTTCCAGAAAATGTTAAAAGAGCATGCTTTCCAATCTTCACAGTCACGGTGATCCAGAGGGGAATGTATGAATGCCAAGAATGGTGATGTAATTATGGAATGAGAACAAGTATTGAAAAGATGGGGGAGGCACTAAGGGCCCAGAAGGTAGAGGAGATGGGAGCCCACGAGGGATGGTCGTACCTTAAGGGGGCAATCCTCCAGGCCCAAAGGATAACAGTCCCTGAGAGAAGCAAGCGGGGGTAAGAGTGCTCAGAAACCCCCTTGGCTCAGCAAGGGCATTCAGCAATGCCTGAGGACTAAAAGGGAGCCGTACAACCAGTGGAAGGGAGGAACTATCACCAAGGAGGAGTACTCCTCCTCAGTGTGGGAGTGTAGGAGAGCTATTAGGAAGGCCAAGGCAGAGGTGGCGCTCAGGCTAGTGTCCAGGATTAAGGACAACAAAAAGTCCTTTTTCAAGTACATTGGGAGCAAGAAGAGGGCACCAGGCAATGTAGGGCCTCTGCAAGACGCAAACGGTAATCTGGTGGCCACGCCAGACAAGAAAGCTGATATTTTTAACAGTTTCTTTGCCTCTGTTTTCCAGAACAGGGACCGGGATATCCCACCTACCAGAGGTAGCAACAATCTCGGGGATAGCTCTATCAAGCCTTCAGTCAGTGCAGATGTAGTTAGGGATCTTCTGGAAGGGCTAGACATTTTTAAATCTGCAGATCCAGATGCCCTCCACCCAAGGGTGTTAAGGGAGCTGGCAGGGGTCATCGCAGTGCCTTTGGCCCGGCTGTATGAGCATTCGTGGTCATCTGGCCAGGTGCCGGGGGATTGGAAACTGGCTAA